TACACTGTTGGATTCTATAATTATTTATAGTTAGTTACGTTATAATTTATTTGCTAATGTTGCACAACATATAGAAACATACAGCGTAATCTTACATTTACCCAAAAGAAAATTAGTTTTACTCATGGGAGTAACGGTAAGTAAAAGTAAAGGGATCGTTAGAGTTACCGACCGATCAAAAGCTCTGTAGTAGTTGAGGCCGCCGGTGAAGCCTGTCTCGGCGAACTTGGCGGCGTAAACGTCGATGTCTTCAGGCGTGAGCCACGTGGCAAGTGGCGGCGGTGGGACCCCCTCGAATTTGATTTCATTGGGCACGCGTAAAGCACGTGGGTCCCGATTCAACAGCAAGTTCTTGAGAAAAAGTCTCTTATGTCAACTGTGGCAAAGTCTTTCTCGGCCTTCCCTGGTTCCTATAACGCACCAAATCAAACCTTCAATTAATCCACTTTCTTTTACTAAACGCTTCCATCTTTTGGCTTAAATCATGTCTTTCACTTTTAAATATTGCAATTAATGCTCGGACAAAACCAAAACTTCCAGAAACTCTATCAAACCGATCGAACAGACGTAGGTCAGCCAATATGATTAATGATTTGGTTCATATCCATTTTTAAAAACTCAAAACTAACTAATGCTTTAGTCTCATTCGAAAAATATTTTCAACTGACTGGCCGATATTTAGCTATTTTCTCTTCCCTTCTTCTCTTCCCCCTTCACCATATTTGTCTTTATTTTCTCTCTTATTTCGCCTTTTTCATCTCTCTGTCTTTTATTATGTTCTTCTTATTCCATTGTAGTTTTATTTGGGCTTTTATGGGCCTTCTCTCAAGGTTTTTCTTTTGCTGTTGATATTTCAAACTCAATCATGTGTAAGTTTCAACCGAAGGCACTCGATTGTCGGTTAGTATTGCAAAGTCTTTCAAAATCATTGAATTTCAACTGATAAAAACTAATCTGTTAGTTGTCGTCATGGTTTGAGCCTAAAACTGGCAGGTCGATTGTCTGTATCCATTTGAGTCCAAAATTGATTGATCGATTAAAAGTCATTTAAAAATAAATAAAAGAAAGAAATAAAAAGACTCAACCCAATCACAAATGAATTTAGCCCCAAAATCAAACATAGTATTAGAATAATGCACAGATATAATTAATTAAAACACCCAAAATCATGTAAAAATAAATAACCCAACCTCCAATTACTCGAATTTGCCATAAAATTAATAAGATAAAAAAAAAAACATTTAAACTTAATAACAAAGGCCCTGAATTCAACCCTTTAAAAACAATCCACACAACTAGAAAAAATGAGTAAAACATACATTTTGAACTTGAGATTTAAGTTGACCGTTTAGTCCCTCCCATCTAATAAATGATTCTAAATGATATCTAAATTCATTTGACTTTTAGTTTGACTAAGGAAAATGTGAAGTGAGACCCTTTAGAACCAAATGACTAAAAGGGCACATTTAGAAATTTCACAACCAAATAAACACCCATAGTTCAAGTCTAAGGAACTATAACACTTTATTACCTC